TTTCTTCATCTTTGGCCTTAGTGGTTGGTGCATAAATTTGAATAATAGTCATATTAACTGGTCTTCCTTGTAGGCGAATGGGTATTATCCTATCACCGATGAGTGATAGGATACTACTCCCATTAACATACCCTTCATTGACTTCCCTCCCTGTCTCACTTCATATATATATGGAGAGAGAGAACAGCCTTTCTGGGTGCCAGGCCCTGGGCTGAGGGTATTACAGGCATTATTTCATTGAATTTTCACAACCACGATGTGAAGAGTACACTTTGGGGCTCCCCATGGGCCAGATCCTGTTTTAAGTCCTTCACCTATGAAGAAATCATCCAATCCTCACAACTGCTGAAGCACAAAGAGTTAAGAAACTTGACCAAGGTTGCACAGCTTCATACCCCAAGTCTGAGCCCTTAAACTCTGGATGCCCCTGTCCCTCCAAAGAGTCCCTCGGATGACGGTGGTGCCACGTGATGTTCCTTGAGCCTCACCTGCCTCTCAGCATAAACAAAGGACAGAATATAGGCAACTAAATGGAACCCGTTATGAATTGAATTGTGTCACCCCAAAATATGTGTTGGAATCTTAACCCCTATACCTGCAGATGTAACCCTGTTTGGGAATAAGGTTTTCTTTGTTATGTTAATGAGGCCATACCAGTGCAGGATGTGTCTTCAACCAATCACTTTTGACATATAAAAAGAGCAGATGAGGTACAGGGACAAGTTAGTACAAACTGGGGAAGACAGAGGCACAGGTGAGATTCACCAGGATCTGAAGAACAGTGGGACCGTAGAAGCTGAGACAAGTTCTTCTCCCAGACAAAGAGAGAGTTTTCCCTCCACCTGGTGTTCTGAATTCAGACTTCTAGCCTCATAAACTGTAAGAAACTAAATGTCTGTTCTTTAAACCACGCACTTGTGGTATTTCTGCTATAGCAGCACTAGCAGAATAGGACACACCCAAGATTTGGGGACAGCTTTATGGTGGGGAGACCCACAGGATGGAGTGCAGAGTGAGTGCTCAGAAGCCACCACACTCCAATTGCCAGAACATCTGGAAAAGGACAAGGCAACAGCCATGTGGCCACATTCCTGACCACCCTAAGGATCCCTCTAGCTCCTCGGGTGGAACCTGGGCTCTGGAATGTAGAGAAAACATAGACAGGGCAGCCCCCCATCTTGTGACAGTGCTGGCTTCTCAGAGAAGCTGGTTCCTCAGACTAACACTGCTGTGTATCAGGGTAATTGTCAAGGAGGACAACTACTTCCTGTGATGTCAGCAGGATGCGCCAAGCGTAGCAAGCGCAACCTATGGCCCAGTCACAAGCAAGGCCTGTGATTAAACCTAGAAAAGACCTGAGCTTTAGAACAGAAGGGTTTACTATCGTTGATCGACTTGTTCATATCCTGGACTCGATTGTAACCAATAAAGCAATGACTGGAAAGTAAGACACCAAGAGATATTCTTGCTGTAATTTCCCCATAGAAATATATATACTGTGTGGCAAGCTAAGTTCTTGGAAACTCCCCAAAACTGGTAAAAGCAGCTTTTTTTTTTTTTTTTAACTATTTTATGGAAAAGAGAAAGAAGGCACATTTCTTGGATTTAATTTGTTCACACAAACTTCACTTTTTTTTTAAAGAAAAGTTGGCACCTTTTAATCTGAGGGAAGCAAGAGACTGTCACTCCAGTAACTCTTTAAAAAAGTTGCCTATAGTTGTGTGGCTTAGCATATTAATTTCTTTCCAGATGAAGAAACCCGAAACAGGTCTTCTGAGGGAAAATGAATGGTACCCCCTCAGGAGGCAGATGGAACAATGGGAAGGGGCGGAGGAGCGTGTGGGATGCGCAGGCAAACAAAAGGGCTGCCTGCAGCTTACCTAAAATAGAAAACAAAAGTTAGCAACAGCTTCCCGCCTGGCAGGCCCTGTTTGAAGTCCTCTGTGTAGCAACAAGTACCACCACAGGGTGCTGCCTCCAGATGCCGCTTTGGAGATGTAGAAGACCGTTGACAGAGTTCCCACCTCGGCATTCCCCACGCCGGGGACAGGTTCACTCAACAGATAGTAGCTTTTGCTTTGTTCTGCTGAAGAAATTCAAACCACGCTAATACTTTCTTTGTAGAGGTCTTTGGAGAATGATATATATTAAAACTCATTGCCTTGGAGTCGATTCTGACTCATAGCGACCCTACAGGACAGATTAGTACTGCCCCATAGGGTTTCCAAGGCTGTAAACTTTACGAAAAGCCGACTGCCATATTTTTATTCCGCAGAGCGGCGGGTGGGTTCCAACTGCCAACCGCTTCGTTAGCAGCTGAGCGCTTAGCCACTTGCACCACCAGGGCTCCTATGGACTTTATTGGGGGGGGGCATAATTGGCAAGATAACTTGTTATGAATTATGGAACACGCCTTGGCTTTGAAGTGTGAAGGACTGGAGTTCAAATCTCAGCCCCGCCACTCGCTGTGTGACCTTAGTTTTGAGCTCCATGTAAAATGGCGATGTAATTCCTTTCTTGTTGGTATGGTGTGAGGATTAGCCATAAAGTTGCGCAAGAGAGGGCCTGCACGTGCTTGGTGCTCTAGAAACCGCAGCTTCTGTCCTGCCGAGGCCTCAAGAATGCAGGTGGCGCACTTCGGATCATCAGGTTCACTTGAGTGCCTGGAAAAGGGAGGGAGAAAGGAGGGAGGGCGAGGGCGGGGGCGGGGCCGCGGCGCCTATAAAGCCGCCCTCAGCGGGGACATAAACAAACCTCTCCTGGCTCGCCGCTCGGTCCTGTAGCGCACGCCCGTCCTTGCGGTTTGCCTTGGCTCGCCTGAGCGCCGCGCCGCCACCAGGCACCAGCCGCTTTGCCTTTCTCCGTCTGCCTTAGGTAAGCCGTCGCCCTCCTTCTGGGCCCGTGGAGGAGCCGAGAGTGGCCGCCCATGGGGTGCTGCTGGGGCTCCTGCGCGGTCCTGTGTGGCCCCAAGGGCTGCCGGAGCCAGCGCCCGGGAGCAGACAGTGCACGGAAACCCGGTGGCGCGGGCGCGGGCACCGCTAGGGTGGAGGAGGAGATAAAAAAGACAGGTCCCCGTTCACCTTCCCCCTCGTTGGGGAGGTGGGGGGTGGAGAGCCAGCGGGAGACACCCGGAGTGCGCTGCCTGAGCGCACTCCCAGCACTACAGCTGGCGCCGCCGCCAGGGAGCGCGCTGAAGTGAGGGTAGGAGAGAGGACGAGGGGTGTGTGAGTGAGTGTGTGCGTGTGGTGGGGTGTAGCCCTGAGTATTGCGCCTGGGGAAGGGGAGATTGCGTGTGCGCGTGTGTAGATAGCGGTGGGTGAGGTGAGTGGCGCTAGAGATGGAGCTGGAGAAGGGGGCGTGGGTGTGTCCGGTTCCCAGACTGAGAGCGGAACGCGTGGGGATCTGAGAAGGTTGATCCAGCCCCGAAGCCGGGGTGGATTGTGTGTGTGTGTGTCTGTGTGAGGGGAGGGTCCAGGGTGTGTCACAGCGCGTGTGACACGCGCGGGAGCGTCTCTCCGCGAGCGCCGCTGGGCAGGGTGTGTCCCTGAGATGGCCTGGGGTTGGAACTGTGGCGGCGCTAGAGACAAGGCCCGAACAAGAGGGGTCATGCGCGCATCTGGCGGCCCCTGCTCTGGCTGGGGCAAGGGACGGCGTTATTTTCGCGTGTGCCCACTTTCCTTGCTTTCTTTCCCTGGCTGCTTCCACGGCGGGCCTCTTTTGCCCTTCCCGGGGGAGAGCCGCTGGAATTGCTGTTCCATTCCTGAGAGACATGCTGCAGTCTCTGATTCAGCCTCGGGAGGAGACTCTGGCAGGGCTTGTGGAATGTGGCCTCAGAGCTCCTGGGGACAGACACTGTCCTGCTTATGTCAAGTTAGTAGCTGAAGCTGGGATTCCGTGCACGGTTTCTTCCCCACCTGCTGGGGTCTGTGCCCTGCCATCAGAGGCCCTTGTCGCTCAGGGCAGCACCCTTTCCGCGGCTGGGCGGTTAGGGGCCCCCCAGTTTTCCAGTGCCCTTGAGTAACCTTTGCTCACAGACTTCCCCTGTCCTTCTATTTGTGTGGTTCCTTTAAGTAACTGGCAACTATTTAAGTTTCAAAGGGAGTTCAGCCAGTGGCCACACAGGAGGGCGTTAGCCTCCTCGTAATGGCCTTCAGCCATACGTCACCTTCTCCTAAACCAAAAAAAACCCCCAAACAAACCAGTTGCCCTTCAGTCGATTCTGACTCATGGTGATCACATGTGTGTCAGAGTAGAGCTGTTCCATAGGGTTTTCAAAGCTGTGACCTTTTGGAAGCAGATTGCCAGCCCTTTCTTCTTTTGGTTAGCAGCCAAGCACTTAACTGTTAGCGCCACCCAGGGACTTCAACCTTCTCTTACACCTAAAACCTAACCTTTGCCATCGAGTCAATTCCGACTCATAGCCATCCTGTAGAACAGAGTAGAACTGTCCAATAGGGTTTCCAAGGAGCTCTTAACTACCGTGCCACCAGCGCCCCAACCTGGTCCTAAGCCATCTCAAATGACCATAATCTAAATCAAACGCTGTTCTTACTGTGAACATGCAGCTTCAGGGCCAAACCCCCACCCGGCCTCCTCTTGTGTAGACGTTCTGGAGTCTTCACTGAGTTTCACAAACATGAGTTGCAGTAAGCAAGATACAGAGAGCAAGAAGCCCAGCACCCGCCTTCGAGGCTCACCAGCTGGTGGGGGAGACGTGCAGCTGAAGGTGCAGACCGCAGTGCTAAGTGGTAAGTGTAGGGCTGAGCAGCACCCGGACCAGAGTGGCATGGGGTGGTGGCCACAGGAGGCCGGGGGCAGAGAAGGGGCCAGGAAGTGATGAAACCAAAAAACAAACACCTGTTGCCATTCAGTTGATTACAGTTCACGGCGACCCCATGTGCGCTCAACTACTAACGGGGAAGTGCTTCAGCAACAGGAAGCAAAGCCAGAACTGCTAACCTCTTCGTTAGATCTCTTGGAATAGAATATAGACTCACACATGGACCTGAGCCAGCCTCTTCCCATTTTACAGCTAGGAAACTGAGGCCCAGAGACAGGGAGCAGCCTGCCTGAGTCCTAGCTGGGGCTAGAACTCCGTTCTCCAGAGTCCTTCTCCAGGGGTCTCCTGGCTGGGACCAAAAGTGGTGGAAGGTTATGAGAGGTCTTGACTTGGGCCCATCTGCTGTCAGAGGGACAAGAAATAGCACCTTCATGAAGATTCTGGTGAGGAAACTTTTAAGGCAGAATGTGAGTGTCCCTTCCTCCCTCTCTTCCTCCTTTCTGCCTGTCTTCTAAGGTGTTCTAGAGAGATGAGCAGAATCTGTCCCATTCTAAAGGACTCAATGGCAGCAGCCCTGCGGAGTGGCCATGGACTGGCCGCAGGCTGCCCCCTCCAGGCCAGACGGCACATCTCAGGGGAGCTGTGGTGCCTGAGCTCGCCTCTGCAAGGACCTGGGAAGAAAGATCGCATTGTGTTTTTCAGATGGTCTGAGACTACAGAGAATCCCATCCAAGGCGTGACTCAAGGCCTGAGGCCCTGTGCCTCGGAGAGGAAGCCAGGCTGATGAATCAGCATCGAAGACTCCAGCGGGGAGCCTACAGGATAGGGGGCTGGGCTCAGGCCAGGAAGGAGGGCAGGGGAGAGACAGGGAGGTGATGTCTCTCGCTCGCTCCAGATCAACTATTTCCCCTCGACTCTCCTTTTCACCCTTGCAAAACCTCTGCCTGGGCTGAGTTGGCCCCATTGAGTGGATGAGCAAACCGAGGCTAGGAGAGTTTAGGGATCTTGCCTGTTGCTACACAGCCAGGCTTTGAATCAAGGCAAGTCAGACTTCAAAGCCTTTGTCCTTTTCCACGACAACATGTTGGGGTGACCAGAGAAATCAGGCTAAAATGAAAGATGCAGAGAGGCAATCAGGAGCTCGGTGCCTCGGTTTCCCCTTCTGTAGAATGAGCATGATTGGGATATTTAACTGCTAAATGAGTTAATCCATGTAATAGAGCTGAGAACAGTGCCCAGCAGGTGGGAAGCCCCATGTAGGTGTCTGATGTTATTAGTACCCACAGAAGACATACTTTAGGGATCTCCTCACAATTCTTAGGATTTCTCAGCTGGGACACCCCCACCCTCTTCTTTGTGATCATTGAACTATTCCCCTTTCCCCAGAAAGCCTCCCTGACTCTCCCTTGGGCCAGGAGGCTGGGCTAGTGGCCTTCTGCTTCCATGGTGCCCTCATTGGCTCTCACCGGGATGTGATTATCTCTCTGCCTGCCCGTTTCCCCTTTAGACATGAGTGCCTGGCACTTGGAGTCCCTGGGTGGTGCAAAGGTTAACATACTCATCTGCTAACCAAAAGGTTGGAGGTTTGAATCAACCCAGAGGTGCCTTGGAAGAAAGGCCTGGTGATCTACTGAAAAGTCAGCCACTGAAAACTCTATAGAGCACAGTTCTACTCTGACACACCTGGGGTCACCATGACAGAAACTGGAATTTTTTACCTGGCACGTAGAATGTGCTCAATTTTTTTTTTAACCTGGCACATAGTAGGCACTCAATCAATGCTGGTCAAAAAAGAAACCTCCTTTCATTAAGGAAATAACTTGGACCGTCTTATGTAGGAGAGATTGAAGGGCCATTCAAGAGGGTGGAAGCAGCAAGACCAATTTGGGGAAGGGTCCTGTCAGCATGGTGGACACCGACCTCGAGGACAAAGGGTTTTGTGTAAAGAAGCTATTTCCGCATCGTCTGACAACACTGGCTCCATTTGTGTGATTCCAGCAAAGTATCTCATAGACTATCCAGTCTAGCTCACGCTTGTCCCTCAGATTCACAGAAAAATCTCTAATGCCACCAGTGTCCTCCTTTGGACTTCCCGTTATTGGGCTTCTCCCCTCAGATGGTCTTCTCTCTGCCAAAAACACTACTCCAACTGCCAAAACATCACTGAGAATCGACCGGAAGCTTCGGGTTGTGGCACACACAAGGGGTGGGAGATGACTGGATTGCGGAGACTCCCTCTTCCTACTACTGTGTTCCAGACACTGTCACTGAACCCTCCCCCTGGTCGGGGCTTATGGGGACAGAAGTTCTGTGTCAGCTCCAGCCAGTACTCAGGAAAGGGCTTTGGTGTATCTGATTGTGGGCTGGGTTCTGTCTTCCCTGGCTATTGTTTTCTCATTCTTTTAATATCAGACAATCCATTGAATGCCTGCTGGGTGCCAGGCACTGGGAGCCCTCAGGGAATCCCTAGTCCAATGGTCTCCTCAGCATATGTGTGTGGTTTTATTAATTTTGATAATCAAGTTTTATTGATTTTGACTTTGAGAGTCCTGTTCCCAACTTCCCTTCCCCTAAACTGGGGAGCTTTTTTGGAGGTCTGTCCAGTCTCCTCATATTGTTTATGAGGTTGATTATGTAAGAAAACATTTAGAATTAGGGCTGCCAACTTCCTCACCATCCCTACAGCCGTGAGTTTTAAAAGGCACCCAAAAACATCAAGGGAACCCTTAAACTGCCTTGTAGCTTGACTTCAAAATCTCTTTGGCAAAGAAGCGAAAAAGAACGTGTCCCCAGTACAGCAAGGGTATCCAAGGTGTACCCTGAGGTTACGTTTCTTGAGGCCAGTGCAGAAATGGGACTGTTTTCTGGAACCTTCCAGGGGTTACTGTGTTCAGGGAAGATTTGTGCCAAACAGCAACAGCACACATTGATTTTTTTTTTTTTTTTTTTTTTAACCTCTAAGAGTCCTTAGAGTCCTTCTGGGATTTAGAGGGAGAGGTGGTTGAGTTGAGGCTAGATTGTTTGCTGTTTTCGGGGCATTCAGTAGATATTTCTCTCATTTATTGATTGTTTTTTTTTTTTTTTTTTTTTTTGC